AAATATATATATATATATATATATATATATATATATATATATATATATATATATATATATTTGGGAATATAAAGTAAGAATCGATAAAACTATTTAAAGGTCCGAGTATGGTCTAAAAATATTCGCCCCGATGACTCCAATTTCTTTGGACTTGATCCATCTACGTGCATTGGTTCAGAGGCGCTTCGGCGGCATTGGTTCAGAGGCGTTTCCGTGGGCACCGTACAAGGGCGATCAAGATGAACTGATCAGACGCCCTTGAGAGAGGCGATTGCAACAGAAATCACCCCAAAGCTATGAATAAATCGACGAGGCCACGCTCGTCTGACCAGAAGTCATTGACGAATGCACCTTGATTCAAGCAGCTGCAGATGTAGATAATAGATTTACACTCATCACAGGATGCTTCAGTATTTTAATAGTAGCACCTACCACAAAATCTAGTTTTCTAGTTTTCTTTAAATTTGGTTAGTCGATTCGGTGGGAAATTGATTTTTTTTTTAATAAAGCCCCATCTGCGCCACCCCCCCCCCAACCACATGATAACATGTCAAATGCATGTTATCAAAATTTAGGCATGGCTTTATATATATGTCTATATAGGAAATGTATAGGGGTGCATATATTTCTTTGCAAAAATGGGGGGGGGGTGCCACCAGAAAGTAATCATGGATCAGCAAAACATGAGAACCCTCTTTAAAAAAAAATGAATCAATCAGCATGATAATGATAGCAGGAACTTTTCGGCTCTACTTCTATACATAATTCTTGCCGCCCTTGAGGAACCAAAATAACGCCAAGCTTATTATCTGTACGATTCAGTTCTTGATTCAGTTTAAAACGTCTTTTTATATCTGAGAACTCCACGGATCAATGCGAATGTAAATTACATGTATGGCGTTACACGGGGGTAGCTGTGAGAAAGACTGGCGCCTTCTAATGACGGGGGCTCCACTGTTATAAATAAAACTTATCTTAAGCTCATAACTGCAGTAGCGGGCGGTGCAGTCAAGACAAAAGGTCTATTGTAACAGGAAATAGACAGCACCTGTATAAGAGTGCTGAACCAGATACCAAACACTCAGATACATGGCACATAGCTAACTATAGTGGCTGGTTGCAGTGTATGAGCTAGTTCACTATAGCGGCTGGTTGCAGTGTAGGAGCTAGTTTACTATAGTGGCTGATTGCAGTGTAGGAGCTAGTTCACTATAGTGGCTGGTTGCAGTGTAGGAGCTAGTTCACTATAACGGGTGGTTGCAGTGTAGGAGCTAGTTCACTATAGCGGTGGTTGCAGTGTAGGAGCTTATAGCAGGTTTTTGCAGTGTAGGAACTAGTTTAAAATAGCAGGTGGTTGCAGTGTAGGAACTAGTTTAAAATAGCAGGTGGTTGCAGTGTAGGAACTAGTTTAAAATAGCAGGTGGTTGCAGTGTAGGAACTAGTTTAAAATAGCAGGTGGCTCTAATTTTGATAACACGGGGGCTGTCCTCGATTTGGCTGTCCTCCATTTGGCTGTCCTCGATTTGGCTGTACACACTCACTCAGAAAAAATCGCCATATTTATTTTGAAGTCGCATCATACATTAAAAAAACAAGGTACGACCTCCCTCTCTCTCTCCCCCCCCCCCTTTTTCCCTCCCTCTTCCAACGTCCGTGGGTACTGGCCCTTTATGGCTCTGGAACATTGCTTTGACACGTGACTTCAATCTCGGTCACATAAATATTTGGCTGTCCTCCATTTGGCTGTCCCCGATTTGGCTGTACACACCCACTCAGAAAAAATC